GGCCTCAAGGAGACCAGTAGTGGTTGGTGTTGAGCGATGCCCACCAACCCCCATCATGAAAGTCCCAACAGCTAGGTGTAAAATGCCAAGCACACACCGTGTCTATGTAACAGGAAAGCTGGATGGCCAGAGGTGCAACTTTGTCATAGACTCTGCGTCTCAGCAAACCCTTGTGAGCATCAAGGTGTTAAATCACGAAGGAGTACCAGAAGCTATACAGAAGCTTTATGGTGTGACAGGACATTCTACAAGATTGTGGGGACCAGTGTGGGTAACTATTGAGCTCATGGGCACAAAGGACAGACAGAAAGTATACTTGGCTGACATTGAAGACCAATGCATATTAGAATTGGACTGTCTACTACCGAGGAAGTTTGTAATTGATTTTGATAAGATGACGTTTGGGAACAACAAAGGCCAAGTTCCGGTAACTATTAAAAGAGAGGTTGAACTAATTAGGTGCCATCAAGGTGAAGTCAAAGTGGCTGAAGAAGTTGATGATGATGAGGTGGAACCAAATATAGATATCAAGGCAGAACAAGAGAAAGACCAAGATTTGAAGCCAATGATTGATTTCCTAAAAACAAGTGTTTTGTGCCCTGCTTGGGAGAAGGTGTCTAGTCTAAGCCCCGGATTATACAACCATACCTTGTCTCCAGGTTCAAAGCTGACTTCAGTAGATCTCTTATCATAAGTTAACTTCATCGAATCAGCAGACGTCTTCAAGTTTGAACGCACTTGATGGTGAATATCATCCATCCTTTCCGATAACACTTTCACAAACTCTGACACAATTTCAGGCAACTCTTCATAAGGTGGGCATCCCTTGGGTCCCCTTTTAGCACTACATGTACTGCATGTCCTGCACCATTCTTCCACATCTCGCCTCATACCTATCCAGTAAAATCTTTGTCGTAGATGACTCAATGTCTTCCTAATTCCGAGGTGTCCTCCTGTTAAATTATCATGGGATTGACGCAGCACAACTTCCCGTAACTTCCTCGGTATAACTGTTTGCTAAGTCGTCACTTTCCCATCGGTAGTTTCCCATCTCCGTACAAGATTACCATCTGCAAGCTTTAACTGGTCCCATTGCACCCAATAGTGCTTTGTCACAAGGAAGACCAAAGGGAAGTCTCCTAAGTTGTCTTCTCCATGGGAAGGCCCATATGACATAGTGGATCGTCTCTCAGACGTGACTTTCCGGATAAAATGTGGTAGGCGAGGTAAGCCAAAAGTGGTGCATGCCAACAGGCTTTGGCGTTATCACGGTCCAGGACATTTCAGTTGGGACGAATTGGACAACAGAACAAATGACGCTATGAAGATGTGCCACCTGAAGAAGCCACCGTCAAAGAAGAAACTCTACTCAGTTTTGAGAAGGGAAACGATGAAGCTTTTGATGAAGTTACTACCATTGGTGTAACTGTTATCGACGATAGGACTTTTCCTGATGAAGCAGATGAACTCCACATGAAGCAGAAGCCAACAAGACGGAGACCAGTACGGAAGAAGATACGTCCCATAAAATTAAGAGACTTTGTTGAATTGTAATTTTGTGATTGTTTCATTGTAGTGTTTTATTTTTATAAGAATTAAATCAAATAATATTTCTCTAATCATTGAGTCCCCTGGATTGGAAAGTAGTAAGTTTACAGATTTATGATGCTAAAATATGGGGTTCGATTCCTTGTAGTGGACACAGCAGATACCTCTAAAACAAACAAACTTTAATTATTATAGTTTAGTGTATTCAGTGTAGTTAAATTTGCATTGATTTTCAATTATAATTCAAGAATTCTTTCTTTTATTATCATAATATTTTATTTTGTATTCAAAACTATAGTTTTAAAGGGTTATGCTGTCTATGAGACGAGTAGTTATTTATAAGAACAAAGATAAATCTAAGTTTGTTTTTTCTTGGCCATATCATGATTTAAAATTGATTAGTTTTAGGGTTAAATGTAATGGTTAGCTTGAGGACAAACCTGAAACACAGATGAGGTGGCAATGTGATACGTGGACCTATCATACATGATGTGAGAAAAACACGTAAATTTTCAAGATATCAATTTAATACAAAAATACAATACTCTATAACCTGAGCACTTTTTAAAGGTAGACCTTTCTTTTTCAGGGGCAAACTTAATTTATGTGACCATAGTATGTGGTCTGCGTTGATTGTATGCACAAACAGTGAGTTTTGGTGAAGTTGGAAGGCATGGGTTTTAAATTTCCCTTAACATGGTCCCGCATTTCAAGGTACTTATACCATCCAGGAGGAACCATTCCATTTTCACTACCTATTATATGTTTCCACCATCTTTATTAATGCAGGATTTTTTTAATTTAGTGTGTTTCTATACAGTTTTGGCATAAGTACATGTTCGAGAAAAAAAAAGTGAAATCATTTAACTTTAGTTGCTTTTGTGTCTTTGTCATTCTCCGTAACAGATAGTATCTACTTTACTTACGAATATGTTGCAGTAGCTTCGCACATTAGTGTAGGAAAGGATCAAGGACTGTAATGTTCTTCACTGGCTAAATGGATGATGTCTGTGTGTTCCAGCCACCAAATATTGTGGGGACACTATTCAACTATTGGAAAGAAAGGAATTGAGATTTCCTGTATTAGTAAAGATCCTTGATACTTTTAGAATTATACCTGACCAACATCATCAACATATCTGCAGGGAGTAATCTTGAGAAAAATAAGGTGATGATCTACTGACAGATCCAGTAGAAGCAATTGTCTAAGTTTCTACACAGATATGCACACTGTTTTTTTTTTTTTTGTCTGTGAGTGCTTTTCATAAATAAAGACTGTTTTCACTTTCCATCACACGTGTCTAATATTATTATTTCTCACACAACTTAAAACTCAGTTGTTTTTTAAATTCAGAATACTTTGCAAATTTCCTGCTCGATCCACCAGTTATTCAGCAGACTTATCTAATGTTTGAGAGTAAATCAATTAAATTGAGTATTGTCAGCTGGCTGTTTAAACTCAGCACCAGCCTATCCTTGAGTCCACCCATTCCGTGCAATACCTTGCTTGAAACATTTGATAAAACGGTCTAGGACTTCTTTTGTCGTTTCATTGTACAGTGGCGAATTTATCCGAGCTTTCTCACCACTGAAAAGTGCCAAAATACTAGCTTCTCTGTTTTGAAATTGAGTAGGAATTTGACCATTTAAGTATGTGGCACTAAATTTTGTGCAATAATTGTTTGTGTTACAAAGCTACAGAAGAACCATTTATGCATAACTGTCCCTAAGTTTGAACTTATAATAACTAGAGGAAAGGTAACTATTCAATAGTACTCACGCCAATTCTAGGGCTTCTCTTGTCTAATCAATTATTAATATTTGACCATCACTTATAACATGCATTCACGGCGACAATCCTCGCACGCCAACTACTTGTCATACCCGGTTCACGAATTATGTAGCTACATTCTCTATAGTAAACAAATTAAGCGGAAAATAAAAATTAATTCTGTAGTGAAACTTGATTTATAACACGAATGTTAATGTATTTTAACAGTTTCCAATGCTTCGCCAACTTCACAATCGCAATATAAACTAACAACCTTTAAGCAATTATTATTATTATTATTTATAGTGTGTTCGTCGTTTCGTAATTAAATAAGGGAAATAAAATAACGAGTTAACTTCAGACAGTGGCGTTAGAGACACGTGGGTTATGTTTATTGATAATTTATTTTTAAAGTCGTATATACAATCGTATTTCAAGTTAATTTTAAATCTGGGAGATAAAAATTTGTATTTGAAATTTAATAGACCCAATAGTTGTCGATACGCATGTTGTCAATTTAATTAGGAAGGTAATACTAATTGTGTGTAGTTATGGAGTACAGGCCTAAAATTATACTTATAAGTTATAGTAATTTTAGTACAATGATTTAATGGTTCTAAAAATTTAAGGTTTGGTGAGAAACCTACTTAATTAATTTCAAAATACAATAACATTAACAATAACAGCAACTTTTACAGTAGGGAAATTCTGATTTTTAAATGTAAGTGCTACATGATAATAATCTAACACTATCGGTCGAAACATTCTAATATCATTATTAATAATTAAAATCATAACTTTCCTATTGTAAAAATTGCTGTTATTGTTAATATTATTGTATTTTTGAAATAAGACTCACTTTGCATTAAAGTTTAAACAGCTTAGTTTCTGTGTTATTGTTGTTAGTTATAGTTTAGTATCGAGACAAGCATTTTTGGTTCTGTTTTTCCAGTCTAATGTGCAAAATTTGAAGAAGTAAAATACTTTATCATTATGTTGACATTTAGATGTTGAGGTTGTAGAGGAAATATATGTCAATATAGTTTTCCTTGGATGGTAAAATATAAAATAATATTTTATTATTTGGGCAGTCTTAACCATTATACCATGATGTTCTTACCTAACACTAACAGTGCAATGAAATGAAATGAAATTTACTTCCCAACAATTCTACCAATACTAATAATAATACTGTACAGGTGTGTGGGATATTTTATCATGGTGTTGACATATGTGTGTGTGCTGTAATAATTGTGGTTTATCTGTTAATGTTAGACTGCATAGATGGATATTGGGTTTCTGTCAATTTAATTTTAATTTAACTTTTTCTTTATTCTGGAAATGAAATATCAATCAAATTGCAATATGCATTATGTGTAAGACAAAAGAATGAAAGTTGTGGCATGATGTAATGTGTCAAAATTCCCATATGAACAACGCTTAAATGCTTTTAAGTATATTAATTTGGTTACCTTTTAGTTTGTGACAAGTTTATATATATTTGAATAGCAGTATCTACTTATGTGATTTGTAATATGGAAACATACTGGCTGACAGTACCCCATATCATGTTTAGCTGAGAAGTGTAATTTAAAAGAACACTAGCCTAGCTAAGTCAGTAATGGAAAATATTAACCATATTGACTATATATTTTAAAGAATGATGTCTTATTTTTTATACAGTGTTTTAAACTTTCTTTATCCTCAAACAGAGTCTGAAGCTGTACAGCTATCCAGTTAGATCTAGCGCTCTAGTTTTTGTTCACTTTAAGGTGATATGTTAAAACATAAGCAACAGATATAAAACTTGAGAGCAGTTGGGCTAAAACATAAAACAACTAAAGAGCTTTTAATATGAAGAACCAACATTTCAAAAACTTAGCATCTCTCAACATCAAGGATACACCAGTGCAGTATTACAAAGTGTAAATAAGCTTAGTTACATGATAAGTTACATAAATTTATTCATTTATCATGATTTGAAATATTACCACTTTTTAACAGTAATCCTTGTTTCTGTAAATAACCTTTTTCAAAATTTTATTTTCTTAAACAGAATAGAAGTAGCCTGCCAATTAATATAATGGATTTGTTAAAAGTTAACAAAACCCACACATGGTTGATTCAGAAATGTAGTTATGAATATTAATTAACTCTCATTAGTTCAGTTATGCTGTATTTCATTCATTAGCAGCTCTCATTAGCCAGTGATAAAGAATATCTACCAGTGAGGATTTGTATGTTTTTGGGTGTCAACATTGGTGTGATATAGTTTTTATTTTGACATGTATATATATATAAATGTAGTTACATTCATGAAATATAAATATTTATTAATCCTGAAAAGATTTAATTTTTAGATGCATTATTCCTGTTTCTGTAGTTGTATGGAGCTTACAATAAAAGGGGCTGCTGGTTAAATGTATATTAGAATGTATAACATATTTTTTCAAAGTCTTTAGAGATTGAGGGGTAAGAGTACTAGTAATTCTAGTTTATATTATGCAAAATACTTTCTATTTATTTTGTTTTCAATTAGGTTTTGTGTTTACTTACAATCAGTTTTAACTTATAAATATATTATGTTCACATATTCTTATATTTCTGTTTTACAAGTAATACTTGTGTATTTTTATAGGAATAATGCTGAGGTACAGTCTGAAAAGGGCTGGAAAAGCAAAATCTAAGAAAAGAGTATCAAATTTTTCTAAAAGACAAAAAGAGGTTTCTGATAATAAGCTGGTATTGGGAGATGATAATGAAAGTGAAGACCAAGAAGAAAAAGAACTAGAAAAGAATGTACTTGGTGGAGAAAATGATCTATTGGATCATCTTAATATAATTGATCAGGTAAATCTGCACAATAGTAAAAGCTAGTCATTAATATATTCATTTTCATGAAACTAATTGTTCTCTTGAAATATATTTTTCTTCTTGCAACATTAAAATATACCATAAAGTTTTTTACTGTTCTTTTGTATTCAATTTATAAATGAACTATAATTTTTTTTTTAAATAGAGAAATTATGTTTAAATGTATTTGAAAAATGTTTATATTTGTTATAATATGGGAGGAGTATTTGTGAAACTTCTGAAGGTAGCATCAACTTTGAATCCTATAGTTTTAATAGTTTTATACCAGTATGTCCATATCTCATAGTTAAAAATCTTTATATTTTAAAATCTAATTACACAAATTAAAAAAAAGCATTATAAGATTTTAATAATATTCTAAAATTATGTTTAAAATAACCTATTTATCTAACATGAAGGCCTAATCAACTAATATTATATTAACTTTTTAGTGTTAAAATAATAGCAAATTAACAATAAGCTCAAGTGTTTCTGAAAAATGAATTTTTTTTTTGTTTGGGCCAAAAAACTTTCAAATTTAGAAGAGAAAACAAATGGATGATATTTAAAAACATAGTACAGTAATGTATTACAGTTTTCATAAAGGTGAGCAACTTGAAGTTTATAGGAATAAAAATAAAATACAGAGGAATAGTTTGTTACATTACATGTTCCGTAGCTTTCACATATTTTTTCTTGCAGTATTTCATAGCTAACACAACTGAACATAATTTCAAACAAAAAACCATAAATTGTCAAACTTTCAATTTATTTAATTTACTTTTTTTTCATTGTCAACCTTGAAAGGGGATATTTACTGATATGTGTTAAATTTTGGAAATTGAAGAGAATTAGTGAGGTTTAATTGTACTTTGAGTGAGTAAATAAATAGATATTTATAACTTTCACCAAACACATGTTACTGAAACCGAAGAATCTCATAATATAACTTTCACCAAACACGTTACTGAAACCGAAGAATCTCATAATATAACTTTCACCAAACACATGTTACTGAAACCAAGGAATCTCATAATATAACTTTCACCAAACACATGTTACTGAAACCAAGAATCTCATAATATAACTTTCACCAAACACATGTTACTGAAACCAAGGAATCTCATAATATAACTTTCACCAAACACATGTTACTGAAACCAAGGAATCTCATAATATAGGCTTAAGCTCTGTGCCTGATATACTTCTAAAACAAGAATATACAAAATCCATGCTACTAGAAAATTCATAGAGATAAGGAATTGTACAAGCAGAAGTATGATTACTTGACATGTATGTGATAGAGGCATTTCTTAATTTGGCCAATTCTTTTCTGTTTTGTCTCACGTATAAAATAAGTATTTAGTTAAGACAGTAAAAAAAAAGCTATTCAATAGTATTCTTCTTGTGATCACTAAACCCATTTATTGATCATCATGCTTTGTGGATGTTGTTAGTTACTCCAAACACTTTATTTAAAAAATTGTGAATGTTTTCAGTTTTCTGCTGTGTAATTCAGCATGCTGGAATTATAAGCAAATTTGTACATATAAGTAATTTGTGGAAATATTTGTGCATGTTTTAACAACTAAATATAAATATGTTGTAGTTGTTAAAAAGTGATTTACTAACAAGCAACAGTGTTAATCATTTATCTCAGTTGGTAGAGCACTTACATGCATGTGACAGACCTAATGTTGAAATCCAAAGTAAGATAATATATATATATTGAAAAAAATAAATTACCACATCGGTACCCAGCTAGCAGCCATCTCATGATTTTGAAAATATGCCTAAGGACAGGATTTGTTTGTGAGAGGGGAAGAATGTAGTAGTTTGAGTTGTTAAAAAGAGAATTAGTAACAAGTACTGTAGAGCAATTGCTTAACATGTGACAGCTCTCATGTTCAAATCTGCGGTGAGGAAATATGAAAAAATAAAATACCACACAAATTCAAGACTGCCAAAATATGTATTGGCAAAACTTACCATAACTTTATTTTAATACTTATGCTACTGTTATTAAATAGAAGTGATAAAGTTATGTTAAATGATTAAATGGAAATTAAAAAGTCTCAAATAATAACATTTGTTTGAATTAAAAATAATTACTTATTTAGAAATATAGCAAATCATAATATGTTAAATCTGTTCAAATATTTAACATCAGTCTGGGAAAACAAAATGGTATTTTCTTTTATCTCTCAGTGAAGCAATATAAAATGCACTTAAATTAAACAATAGAAAACCTAATTATTCTGCTTTTCAGCCAAATATTACTACCTATAACATTATATTATTACCAATTACATATTAATTTTCTTCCTTAAAAACAAATTCCAAAATAATTCATGCATCTGATATAAAAATTGAAAAACCTTACCTAATCTGTTCAAAAAACTTTCTACATTATTACAATATGTAAGAAAGATTATTTGTTATGTAATTCTTTTTAATTTTTAAGTAAATGTTACAGTAAAAAAACTGTCTCAGAAGTTTTCCTGTTTAATAAAGTTGCAAAACTTGTTATTATTGGTTAATTTGGATTGAGAAAATAGTAGAAACACCAGTGGGTAACAACAAAAATATTAAATAGAGGTTTTATATTATTAATTGCAGTTTCAATGAGAGATTTTTTAATAAGAATTGTCAAATTAAGGTTAGTCAAAGGAAATAGTATAATCTTTACATTTTACTTATCGTTAGGTCTGAACTGGACTAATACTAGTGAAATCAAAATAGCAGGTCACATGAAAGGAAATGAGACTTCCTTATGAGACATTAACCATGTGTGAATGCAAATAATTCAATGTTAGTGAGTTACTGTTATATGTGTGGAATTTGGTTTCCTAATTTTTATAATACTTGTGATTTAGTACTCTGGAATTAATTTATATAATTTATACCATTACTTGTAATGCTCCTTTCTTTATTTGGTTTTTAAATATTATTAATGGATTCAAAATAAGATTTCTCATCTACTCATACAGAAATGTTGCAAGTGATTGATTTCACACTGCTTCTAGTAATGGTTAATTATGGCAGAAGTTTGATGTTTCTTTAAGATTTTATGTTAGAAATATCTTGAAAAACTGTATGTTGTGAAATGTGTTGAAAAGTGGCATATAATGTGTTTAAATACATTGGGACATATGTATGTAGATTGCATAATAATTATGTTGTTTTCTATAATAGTATATACAGCAAGTTATTTTGTGTAAAATTTTGTCATTAAGTTTTAATGTTTTAGTAAGTTAATATGAATAATGCCATAGTAAATACCTCAGTTTTTTGTTTTTTGTTGTTATGGAAAGGAATTCAGACCCAAGCTGTCTTATGATTCTGTGGATGAAAGATTAACAGAAGATGATCAGCGAGAAAAATCTCACAAAACTGTCTATGAAGAAAAACAACCAGCTTGGAATGATGAAGATGACAATATAATCTTGTAAGTTTATACTCTTCTCTTTTTTTTATAAACCTTATACATTTTATTTATTCAGTTTGTATGCTGTGAAGAAAAAATACATCTACACAACACTTGTGTGATTAAACTATATAGTGTGTGATTTAGTAACTGTTATTAATAAATACATTTTTAGATGAATTAATAAGTTCATAGGTGATCTTAAGAACAGCTGCAATGTATCTTTTCAATATTTACAGTTTTATGTGCTGATTGTTTTTCTAATAATGTTATTGCACTGAAACTTGGAATGAAAATTAATTTAATTAACCCGAGTCAGTGTATCTAGACTTCTGGTTGATTGATCATTTAGATAATGTAGGAATATGCAAATATTTATATGATGTACTTTGTACTTGCACATATTTAAGGAGTGTTAAATTCCTCTTCACACAGATATGTGCATGCCACTAGCCTTGAGCTAACTCCCACCTAAATTCACATGTTTAACATGAGCTGTGCTGGTGTATGATGACATCATTATGTGACAATAGCCCTCCACCAGTAGGAGGGAAACACGACCAACCTCCATGTGCAGTAACTCCCCCTAAACACTTGCATGCAAGATAACTTCATTCTTTTCCTCAGCATTACATTGAAAGAACGTGTTGATTTTTCTTGTATATGTTCAATTTACTGAAATTTGCAACTGTAAATGAAACTTTAGTAATGAAGAATATTACAACATTTTAACCTGCTGTGTCTCAAGCTACAGGCCTTTCACTTTTGGCTGTGGAAGTTGCAGTTTTTCAGTGGGCGTTGGGGTTCATCATTTGGCTGGCTGTTTCTTCCAAGCCCAGACCTGACATTTCTTTGTCTGGTGAATCTGGGCAAGATTAAGACAATTTGGAACGGTTTTTTCCACCTCCTTCCTTGGCTGTGCTATACATACTTCCACCTGTGGAAGCCTTTAGGCTGTCATTAGCCTTCTTGGATATAGGGACACAGGTATATTACCTTTTACTTGTTTTCCTTTCTTCACCAGATATTGGGGTCCACGCTGACCAAATTTTTAGACACTTTTACCTTCAGGGTGAGTGGGGGCACATAGGATTTGGAATACTGGAATGGGGTTTGACCATAATACTTCTGTAAAGTTTTCCCAAGCCCATTTGCCCCACCCCAGTTGAATCCTTGCCATACCCTTCAGTTCCATTCTTTCTATCATCTCCAGTCTGTGGTTATTCACAGTTTCTCAACCAGAGTTTAGGAGGACACTGGTTCCCTTATGTTGTTTTTTTTTCCTTTTTTACTATTTGTTAGAGTTCTTTCCAGATTCTTCACCATCCTTGTACTCTGTTCCTTCTGGTTGGAAACTTACAGTTGTTTTCTATGCCTTTACCCAAATCCCATTCAGAACTGTTCTCTATGCCATTTATCCCTCAACCTGTGAATTTAGATGGGAGTTAACTGAAGACTAGTGGAATGCAAATCTCTTAGGCAGATGCATGAGGAACATAACTGTTATGTGTTGTGTTTGGATGTAAGTATCTATCGAAAATACATTTTCAGATTTGGAAAATGTTAACTTTCAGAAATTCATATAAATGACTTGTAATTTAAAAACTTACATGTCAGTTTACTGTTTGATGAGTGTGAATGGTTGTATAATGGCAATTGTTTGAGTTTGGATTCTTCTTATGTTAATATTTTAAAAATATTCCATTAAAATTCTAATAATTGTGTGTATATAATACACTTTTATTTTTGACATTATCAGAACACAAATTGATGGAAAGCAAAAACTTGATGTAGTGCAGGACTTACTACATGATTGAAAGAGCTTTGAATAATTATAAGTTTGTATGATGCCATATGTTTAGCAACTTTACTTTTAACGTAAGTTTTCACTCAACAAGCAAAAATTAAACTAATGGAAGTGATTGGAGAAATGAAAAGTGATCATGTACGACTTAATTGCTGAGATTAGGCAACTTGTGTCAGTTCATAAATGTACTGATATGTATGATAATTATAACTCCTGATCTGTTACTTGTAATTGTGTAGTATATCAGTATTGACACTTATGAATAACACTGTAAGGTTAAAGACATCTTTTTATATGGTTAACAGTTTGTTCTATAAGGTTTATGTAATGATGAGTTTTAAAATTCTGAAGTTTAGAAAAGTGAATTGTTCTAGTATCCATTCTTTATTATTATTTTTATAATGTCAAACTTTTTTGACTACTTCTCATTTGACTGTGGAGAATGAAATTCATAGTATATGTCAGATTCTTCATGCAGACAAAACACTTAAAGCATATAGTGTATCTGCTTGAGAAAGTAGCCTTTATTTTATCAGTTCCTTAAAAGTATTTAAAGAAGTGAGTCATATATTTAGGGTGATAAATTTTATGTAGGTTTTCTATTATTAAAACTGTTACTTTTTAAAATTTGTTTTAGAATGAACAGAAAATCAACAATACAGGAAAAAGTTAACAAGGGAATAGTAACAAGTAAATCACAAAAGTATTCTGAGCATCTGAAAGAAAAGTAAGTATTTCTGTTTCCTTCTGATTGCTTATGGCTCTAATAATATTATTTTATTAACATCTAATTATAATTGAATAAATTTATGATAGTTGTATTATTTTTTTGTGTAGTACAAATCAAGTTTTTATTTTAAATTTCCTTATTTGTGTAATTAAATTAATCGATTGTTTATCATTTTAAATATTTCATATTTAGAAAAAGTTAATTTTAATGAAATAATTTTATTGTTGGTTCAATTTATTGTTGGTTCAATTTATAAAATAAAAAAGACTGCATTTTTTAATTCGCCCTTGTAGCTAAACTTCTTCCAATTTTTTACATAAAAAATCCGCCATTACTTGTGTAGTTTGATTTATAAACACAATCATTTCAATAGAAGTATATTTACTAAATATAGAGAAAAACCTCAATTACATTTGAATATTTTCGTTTTTTATGTTACTTGCATCTAGTTATTATTTTCCTATCAATTTCTGGTAAACAGAAACTCACAGTATACATTCTATTCTATATAACTGTACCATTACCATATTATTCTCTATTATATAACTTCAATAGAAAACTATTAATATTAGTTCCAGGTTTAGTTACTATTTTAGTTTTTACATTTAATTTGTGTCACTTTTATACGTTTTATTAGTGACAAATTAATTATAATTTTTTCTATCAATGTTATAAAATAATGAATAATGTAGTAATGATACAGTGTTTACAATAGAATCTTTAGATTGTGAAAGTATCTATTTAGGAGCTGTCTTCCAGATTTTTGTGAGCCAATAAGAAAAATGGATCACAAAAATCTGGAAGTATCACAGGTCTTTGTGATAGTTTTAAAGCAGTCCTCTAAACACAAGGTATAGTAGGATACAATAAAACTATCTCATAAAACAAAGAGAACATTCATGATCAGAACTTATTACAGAAAGTAAACATTTAGTATATGACCTCTACTAAATTAAATATGTTCCAACTCAGAACAAGGAAAATTTAGAACATTTTTTAAAATATGAAATATACACTACAGGAGATTAAGATGTGTGACATTTGCATACCACAATATAATGTTTGGTTAGCAGTTTTCTTAATTAACTTTATATTTTATGATAAGTGTAAAATGTGTAAGATATGATAATAAACAATATTATGAGTAGAAGTGCTATTTTCAATAAAAATATTGTGTGAGCTCAGTTCCTTCTAAACTAAATTAGATAAAAAAAATCATAAACATATTTGTAGGCATTTCGTTCAATTTTCCAGGTCTTCTGTAATTATTATAGGAGATATAAAGTAAAAATCATGATTCGTAATATAACTCGTTTGAGATTTTCAGCTGATGATATGATTGTAGAAATTGAATACAAATTACAAACATGATTATTATTTTTATTTTTTTAGCTTCTCTTTAGCAAAAAAAAATATACAATAACTAAATATTATTATGATTACATTGTGTGTCTCATTTTACTGCTTAAAAAATATTATAAAAGAAATGCAAATTGGTTCAAAAAGCAAAATCTTAAATCTGACTGGTTTGAATCTTATTATATTTGATGAGAGAATGAGTTTATTTTTCTAAACTTCTTGAGAAACTTAAACTTCTCTCAGGCAACTAACATCATAAACCAAAACATTTTGCTTCATTGACATTTCATTACTTTGTATGGAGGCACATTATGCTAATACAATAGTAAACTGAAAAATAATGATTTAAAAGCATAATGATGCTTATAAGTCATTGTTTGTCAATTTACTATTGAAGCTTCTTTAGTTGGTAAAAGAAAAGAGAATATATGTTGCCTTTTAAATAACTTGAAAAGAAGTTTCATGTGATAGAGGAGGTTCATTAAAGGTAAAGTGGACAAACTTTATAGTTTTGGATTTTATGTTCCACAGTCATCAGCTGTATTCAATGAGTAAATCATAAAGTGCATGATTTTCAGCTTTGTTGTTGACTTGGTTTTAGAACAGTAACTATAAAATCTTGTTCCTTGGGTTTTTGAATTAGTTTATAGTATGGCTGTTGAATGTAAAGTTATGTTTTTCACAATTTTCCTCTATGTTGTAAAAAGTGTTTCAGTGACTTTCCAGATTTATCTGTATAAATTAATGCATGAGAGGTTTACAGTAGAAATAAATTTCATATTTAGATGATTATGTTTGTGTTGTATTACCTCTATAAATTCAAAAACAACAACTTTAGTCTCATTGAAGTGTAGTGGTTAGCATGCTGGACTGTGAATCTGATAGTCCATAGTTTGTTTCCTGTTGTAACTAAAAATTAAAAAAAAATACTCTGCATTTTGGAGTCATAGGTCTATTATAAGAGTGATGCTGAAATCACTATTCAGTTAGAGTAGTCCAAGAGTTGGCAGTGATTGAGTTTTACTTGCTGTCTTCCTGTTAGTCTGTAATTTAAAATTATGATAGCTAGTACAGATATAGCTTTTGCTCAAGCATATGAAACGAAAGAACAATTTTTAAATGTTTTTGTCACATAAAAGTATTTATTCTCTGTATTAAAAATCTGGATAATATACGACTTTCACTACAGATCAAATATAATTGAAATATTGTATTAAAGCGTACGTCTTGTTTACTAATGTGGATAAGTTAAAAAAAGGGATGTTACATTTTACATGTGTATTGCATCAGAACTCATGAGGGCATGATTTTTGATAATGTAACAATGATAGATAAATACATAAACTGCAGAGAAATTATAAAAATATAATTCTCATGATTCTTTTAGTGTGAATTTTTGAATTTTCTAAAACAGATACAAAGTAATTAATATTAATTATGTCTTTTGTCAACAAAAAAAAACTGTTATTGAACTCGATAATTTGTGAAGCATTGTAATAGATAATAAAGGATAATGAATACCAAAGATGTAAATAAGCATTGTATTCTATAGGAGTGGATGTAAGAACAGGTTTTTTGTTTTAGTGTTGACATGGTGAGAAAAATTCAGTTTAAATAGATCACCTAAACACTAAACTGTGGATGGAGTTGTTCAAAATGATTGGTGACAAACATTTTTCAGTGAAAAGTTTCTATCACATGATGCTTAATTTCAAAACCTAAGATTTTTTATCAAACTTGTGCTTCTTTGTGTGATTAAAAGGAACTTATGGTAACTTTACCATCTTTATAAATTTGTTTCACTTGTTATTATAATGTTTTAATATGGAAATTGTCATTTTGTTGTGCTGTGACTATTTATAAAAGTTATTGAAACTTTGGTGTTTCACACATTTTCAATATTCAGCTGTGAAAATGAAAGCAAAGGAAAGATAATAAATCAAAACTGACTCCTGTGACTGCTCATAGGTGTATCTTGTGTTGCGAGAAATAATAATTATTTTTTAATTTGTTTGAATTAGCTTTAAAATATTATTAAAATAATTCTATTTCATTTTTTCATATAAATTGTGTTGGAGATACATTTGTTACATGCTCAGAAGCTTTCTTGTTGTTTGTAATCCATTGTATGCAAGTAAGTTTTAATATCATTGGTTCAGTAATGCAAATACTCAACAAATTACTTAAACATGATAGCTGAAATTCTTAATTTAATAATTCATTAATTTCCTTCCCAGATACATGAAAATTACAAGCCAGCCAAAATGGGCCCAAACTAAAAAGAAGGATAAAAAATCAGGGTCTGATGGTAAGATATATCTGTTAACTTAAAAATAAGATCTGGTTTTTCACCTTGTACCTGTCCTTCAAAATTTTGTAAAAAAAAATATTACCATCATGTTGAAATTATGAAAAATAGAAGTAATTGATGTAAAAAGTTTAATAGTAACATGTGCATGAAAATCAGTTGTTTAAGATCTTCTACCTTAAGTTGAAGCTTATTTAAATAGCAAATATTATATGTTAATGTTATTTTTTTTACTTCTTGCAGATGAAAGTGATGAAGATATTTTGCAAAGAACTGGAAATTTCTTGGTTAAGTCGCAAGTTCTACCCAGTAAGACAATACAAGTACAAAAATGTTGCAATCTGAATGATGAAGCTAGATCACAGGTCAGAACTACAGTGTGCATTATTATATTTGGGAAATTCAGTAACTTAAATACAGTTAAATGCAACTTAGTATTGTTAGTATTTGAAAAGCTAAAAATGGGGAAACATCATCTAGCAATTGTATTAGAAGTTGTTCTTTAATACTTTGATAATTGTTATGTTGTGGACAGATATAGAACTTTGGTTTTAAATCACATTGAAAAAACAACAAAACTATCTAATAGCTTTGAATTTGTATTTTGCAGAGACTAGTTAATGTTTATCATTATTGTAGCTAAAAAAAGATAATAAATGACAATTTATAATTTATTGAGCATATTTTGGATTATTGTGATAGAGAGTTTCAGACTAGTGCAACAACCAACTTGGGAAATATATAAGTGACTGTAGTCAAAAAAATATATATTTGTAATTAGTACTACTAGCTGTGGAATTCAATTAGAAATATTTTCAGTAAACAGCATTTTAATGTAATAATATTGTGCAATAATGCTTACAAAAAAGCATTCACTAGATTTTTCAGTGAAAAATCTTTCATTTTTTGTAGCTCAGAATAGGATAAGTCAGTATGTGTACATATTGTAACATATATTATACAGATAAATAGATAGACAAAAAACATATAAAAGATAGTATTAAAGATATTTTGAGATTGAATATCAATTGTTACCAGAAATAGGAACATTAAAGACACATACATTTTACTTATTTAGATAAGCTATTAAGACTGGATGGGAAATGTTATTTTAAACACCAGGAAGCTACAAGTTAAAAAACAGATTTTTTTTTGTACATGAGCAAAAATATTGAGCATTTTTGTTCTTTTGATAGACCAATAAATGGTGGCAGAATATCTTAATGAAAATAAGTAATCAATTATCATTATATTCTAATATATTATCTTAAGGGATTATTTCTAATTGTGTGTTTAGGTATGTAGCTTGGATTGATAAAAAAACAAAAAAAAAAAACTTGCGAGCTATATGATATCACTTGAGTGAAGACTTTCCCACAATCTGTCGTGAAAAAATCTGAATGTTACCAAGATTGGATTTTAGTTTAACAAAATATACTGAGTATAAGAAATTTGAACTTTGCCTTCAACTTATCGTATGAGTTCAAGAAAATATATCTTAGTTGTCAAAGTAAAAAATATATGAAAAGTGTGTCAGTTTGTCTCATATTTTCATTTTAAACTCCTGGAGTTGTCTGTTCCAGACTGTGGTAAAGAGTGTGGAGTTTCATCCAAAAGCCCAGGTAGCAGTTGTAGCTGATTTTTCTGGGACAGCGACCATTTTTCAGGTGAGAAAAGATACTTTTTTAAGATATTTAATTTATTGTAATGTATTTTCACTAAATTTCACTGAAACAATTTAAGAACTAAAACCTTTAACTTTGGACAATATTTTGGCCCAGATATGTAGTATTGTTTTGGAACTTTAATGATGCAGTTGTATCATACGGTTTTATGAAATCCCTATGTAGTTTTGCATTTTAATTAGGTTAAAATGTGCGTAGTTTTAAAATACAATGCCCATATTTGTTATAAGCTTTAAAATTATAAAATGCATTCAAGTTGGTTAAGATGGGGTTTGTTAACTAAATACAACTTTTATTACAATAGCACCATGAATGCAAAGAAGATCACGAAGTCAGTGAAAAAAGTAAAATTTTAAAATTCATATAACTCCTAATTAGATTTTTAATTGTTAATTCACATTATTTTCCTAGTGTTTAAAAAAATATTTACTTGACAGTAATAAATGGCATATATACTCATTTGCTTTGGCCTTTTTCTGTAGGTTGATGGAAAATACAACTCTAAGATTCAGTCAGTTCACTTTGACAACTTCCCTATCCATGAAGCACATTTTTCAACTGATGGTGAACAGTTGATTACAAGTTCAAGAGAATTTGGTCATTTCTTTTCTTATGATATGATGAATGGGAAGGTTGTGAGGATTCCTTGTGATAAAGGTTTATTATTTGTTTCACATATACTTGAATTAATTTAATATTACTAGATGACTTAAAAAAAGAAAAAGTTTTTAAGTTAGTTTTACATTGATATCTACTATATATGTATCTCCATAAATAATCAAAGGCATAGAATTGGAAAGGAAAATTAACAAATAAAAATAAACTATAAGTGAAAAGATAAAGATGTTAAATTATGCACACGAGACAAAGAAGAATATTCTATTGAATTTCTAGGAAGAGTTAAAAGGTGTGTACATATTTCCATTTGTTAATTTTAAACATTTCATTGCACTGTAGGTTCATGTTAATAGATAGTTAGTGATATAGTACAGAAAATGAAAAATATCTTAAAAAACTTTTGATATTCATTTATGAGGTTCTAGAGATTATACAAATGAAATGTGAAAACTGTAAGATAAAAAATAGTATTTTTATACTTCATATAAAAATCACTTTGCAGGTGAACTATTCAGTTGTTGGGATATGATAGCTAATATCAACTTAAACACTGTTGTTGGGATATGATAGCTAATATCAACTTAAACACTATTGTTGGGATATGCATAAGATGTGTTGGTTTATCTCTGGAAATCTGAGCTCTCAGCTTGGGCAATGGCTGTGTGTGTTGGAATATTCAGAAGTGGATTAGAGGTATTTTTATTATACTTGGTCTTCCCAGTTTGGACAGTGGCTGTATGTATTGGGATATTCACAAATGCAATACCAGGTAATTGGATAGTCATTACACATCTACTGGAGAGGTTTGATAGATTTACAAGGTGAAAGTAAGGGCTGACCTTTGAATAAAGATGGTATGATTCTGACTATCATGCTTTTATGTAATTCTGTTTGAAAGCTAGGTTTAATTAGAAGTTTGAATGCTAGATGACTTATCTACGTTATTTCCAAATTGCATTGTAGATTAAAAGTGTTTGCTGCATTTTGTATTCCTTTTTTTTTGTTCATATTTCTTGTTTTCTTGCAGGGTGTTTGTGCTGAAATCAAAACATTTGAGGACTTATTGGAAATGACAGAGCATGATCTTAAAGATATATTACATAAGTACCATGGTCGAGATGAAGACATCAGACGACTTCTTATTGCTATTAGGAATCTTAAAAAATTTACAGGTACGATAAGCAGTACGTATCATGCCAGTCCAAAGCATATCTCATCGAGACTTGAATCATTAATTATAATGTTTTTTATTTTATTCATTGCCTGAAATTTACTAGCACTGAGTGTTATAAGAGAAAAGTTTGTCATATAAACAGATTTTACAGTTTCTGTTGAAATGTTTGTCAGAGAAAATATTAATGACTTTAAGATGTTATTATCTTTTGATACCACTGAAGTACACAAGTGTAAATGTTAACCCTACAGAGATGGGTCTTCCTATGATCACATTCAAAATTTTATTGAACTATTATTTTATGAATGTTTGTTAATAAGTTTGGTATCAAATTGTAAATTATATTTCAAAATTTAGTATTATACATTAGTTAATTTTTAATTTAAAAGTAAATATTATGAAAAAATCTATTGATTTTTGTGCGTCATATGGTATGTTGAATACAACATTGGTTCAAATTAGATGTTTGTGATGTCCAAATACAAAGTCTGTAGTTTCTTACGAATTAGAAACTCAAATTACAAGCTAGAATATAAGATAAGAACCTCCTATCTTTTCTATTTTCTGAGATATTAATATATATTTATTGAATCAACCAATGTGGCCCTGCCTACCTCTTCCATTTTTGAAAATACTTGCTTACGTATCCCTGCTTTGCCCAATGACGTATGTATAGCCCATTGAAAGCTCAGAATGTCCCCCTAGTAGTTTTCTCAGCCTCTGCAAAGTATTTGCATGGGAACTCTTTCTTTTCTTGCTAGATTCCAAGTGTTAAGGTAAGACATTATTGAGCTCAAAAAATCATATTTTTTTAGACCCAAATACAGCTTAGTTACTAAGCTTAATAAATTATTGTGGAATTCTGTGGTTATTGACATTGTGAGTTATGATTTTCTTGTTATTTCAAAATGCATATATAAAACCTAAAATAAATTATTTTGTTTTACATACTTCATGTGAAAGTTCATAAGGCTTAGCAACTAGTGGCAAGCAGCAAATGAGTACAAAGTTCATAACTAGAAGAGATAATTGTTTCTATGCTTCTTTATTTACTGTCCTATGTTTTAAGAAATATAACTGAAATTTAAGAACTTGTTTGTAAGTAGTAATAATGAATATACTTATATAATGTATTATAATTGAAATGTGACTGGTCCAATAGAACAAGCCATGACAGGTCACTTTATAAAAGCTAGTTTTATATTCTTTGATATGGTAATGTAAGTGCACGTGTGCCGCGTCATTACAAATTCTGTAATATGACTATTTTACAAAATACTGTTCCACTACAACACAGCAAAGACAGGTCACTTTGTAAAAGCCAGTTTTATATTCTTGGATATGGTAACATGAATACATGTGCACAGCATCATTACAACTTCTGTAACGTTAGACAGGCATGGCTGAAAGGTCAATCAAATTAAAAATGATAAATATAAATAGATATATAATGTTACGAGATTTAAGCTATTTAGAATATACATTTATGGTTTCATGTTACAAGTTGTAGCCATTCTAGAATGAAAAAAGCATAATGTAAATCTTATTTCCTAATTTTTTATCGTGGTTAAGACGTTGATCAATTCGACCAACCCCATACAAAAATAAGATAGAGAAAATAACAGATAAATATTTCCTAAAAAAATCGTTTGATTATTATCTGGAAGTTATAAAGATTTTACATGTGAAATTTGAAACTTTTCTGATGCATAAATGTATTTTAAATCTTAAAATCAAAATTACTTTTCATGTTGGATAGTCGATATTCGAAATGAAAAATGCATGAGAAAAACATTACTTAAAAAAAAAATCGTAAATCTTAATAAAAAATGTCTGCTAGTTTGCATATGAAAGCCTTATATTGTTTATTAAAAATATGCACAATTTTGTGAACGTGAGCTTACTGTATTAAAAGTTATAGCATGAAAGCTATAACAAGCACAAAATGGTTACGAGATCAGTCTCTGGGACTGAATCTGTAGTGAAGAGAGTTAAAGAAGTTATTTTATACATAATTTATAGAAACTGCAGCAATAGTTGTAGTGAGAGTATCTCACTATACAGTACACTCCCTGTTTTTACTTGTATTAATATGATTATACACACATGTTAAGTGGCCCGGTTATTACTTTATAATGAAGTTTATTTTTTATGATTAAAGATCTTAAAATTGTATGTGATCTTTAAGTGTGTTTTGCTATCAGCCAGCCAGAAGTACTCTGATCACTGAAGCAATTTACAGTCTCAGAATCTTTATCAAATAATGTACATTTGTGTTCCACAGAAAAGCAAATCCGAGGTGAACCATCGAATGCATGTGATCTGGATCTTCACTGGGAATCATGGGATAGAACAGATAGAACCACTCGATCGTCAGTACCATCAGAAGAATTGTTGAAGTGCACTCCTGTAAAACCACAGAGTCCTCCTGCAGTGGGAGTAAAGCATGCTAACCAAGCCAGCACCCCTTCACTCTTTCACAATTACTCTTCCTCGGCTCTTCTTCAGACACCGCTTTCCAGTAATAATTTACAGTCCTTAACAGCACCAGTAATCAAAGAACGTCGATACACGCCTCCACCAACGCCCCCAATTCTTGGAAAGAAAGGAGATAAAAAATTTCCAACCACACCACCTCCAACCAAGAAGCACCAGACAAACCTCTTGCCTGAAGCTTTTCCACTTACCAAGAGTAAATCACATGAAGAACATTTAGCAAACAGGATAGAGCCTTTGGACTCGGCAGTTCTCAGGTGAGAACCTGGGAATAATACAAAATGATTGCTACACTTGCATATTCTTTTTTGTACACATCAGTACTGTGGTTCAGTTTTTATATTCTTTTGATTGTTTTCTCAGTTTTGTAATTAACTCATTCAAAGTAACATTTATATAGTGACAGCTTTTTCTTATCTTTAAATCATTTTTTAATCACTAATTATATTTGGTAGTTGTGGATAACATGGAACCTTTTTTTCACTAGCTTAATGAATTGGAATTTGTCACTTCATTAATATTAATCATTAATACTTAAATGGAATCACTTGAAGGTTTTAAGTCACACTTTCAAATATAAGACAAACTCTAAGGAGTAATAATTCAACAAGCCAAATTTTCAACCATGGTTTTATCAATAACACTGACTGAAAGTCAAGTACCTTGAATCTGAGTAGTTTGTGTAATGTTCAGTAACTGATGGGAAAAGAAAATTCTTTCTAATAGTGCTGCTTAAAGTAACAGTTATTGATTAAATTCAGGCAAGCTATTTCATTAACTAAAAATTTGCCCTGGCTGTTAAATGTGAAACTATTGATATTGGATATCCACTGCAAATTGTTCTGTTTTATCTTCATTTTTTCAACTCTGTTTTGCTCTACTTCTTATTGAGATTATGATAGGAGGCTTTTGTCCATCTGTAGAACCAAGTTTAACTGATTTGCATCTGGAAGGAGTGTATTGTGCATGTCAGTTATGTTAAACTCACCTTTTTTTGCTGAGACTTGGGATCTGTGATTGGCTGTTGTCAAGATGCCTTTTTTTTTGCAGTTACTTGCAGCTTTATTCTTTTTGATTGGCTGCTGCCGTCCTACTAGTTCCCTGATTGGTTTGTCCCTTGATCTTCTGCCTTATAATGCAGTATTGGTGAAGATACAGTTTTCATAGATTGAAAATCCTTTACATCCTCTGAGAATAAAGGTTACTGCCCAAAGAAAACAGTTGGCCTGACCATCTTTACTACCACCAGTTGAATTTATCAATCAATCTATAATAAGCATTTTCCTGGGCACAAATTTTATTGATCAATCTGTTACAAGCATTGTTCCTGGGCACAAATTTTATTGATCAATCTGTTACAAGCATTGTTCCTGGGCACTAATGTTATCAATTAATCTGTCACTTACATTGTTCCTGGGCACTAATGTTATCGATCAATCTGTCACTTACATTGTTCCTGGGCACTAATGTTATCGATCAATCTGTCATTTACATTGTTCCTGGGCAATAATGTTATTGATCAATCTGTCAAATACATTGTTCCAGAACACTAATGTTATTGATCAATCTGTCACATTGTTCCTGGGCACTGACATTAGTGATCAATTTGTCACTTACATTGTTCCTGGGTGCTAATGTTATCAATCAATCTGTCACTTACATTGTTCCCGGGCGCTGACATTATTGATCAATTTGTCACTTACGTTGTTCCTGGGCACTAATGTTATCGATCAGTCTGTCAGTTACATTGTTCTTGGGCAATAACGTTATCGATCAATCAGTCACTTACATTATTCCTGGTGTTAGTGTTATAAATCACTCTTTCACCTGCTTTTGTTCTTGGCACAAACGTTATTGATCAATCTGTCATTTACATTGTTCCTTGGATGTTAACAATATGTACTAACTGGTTATGATCTTTATTCTGTATTGAACATAAAACTATTAGCTGATATGTTCCCTAGAGGGAACAAGTGCAAAAATAAATATACTGGAACATGGACACTAAATCTAAGATTCTGTTTGACCCTGGAGTCGTTCACCATTTCTGTTTGGTGTACAGATATTAAATTTTAACTTTTTTTCTTCATGAATTACCCTAAATAAGTGTCAGAAAAGGACAAAATCTCAATTTTAAAATAGTTTTGATTTAAAATTATTTAAATATTTAGAATTGACATGTAAAATTGCCTTAAAAATTTGTGGCTAGAGGAAATCCTGTCTTCAGGTACAATGATTTATGAGTAAGTTATTTTGTTCATCCTAAACTGTTGTATGTAAAAAATGCATCATACAGGAAAAGTAGTTCAAAACCTGTAACAACCTGAAAATAATATGATTAATAGAGTTGTGGGGATTCTTTTCTACATATTTCCACAAGACTGTTATATTAAAAGGACTGAATTTTTATTGATAGTATATTATTTTATAATGTTTTCAAACCACAAATTTTTAAATAAAGTTAACAAACTTTGTTATCCCAAATACATCAACAATGTTAACCCAATTACTCCTGGCTACTCTATTAGAGAGAAGGTAACGTTGCTGTGGTCATATTTAATTTCAAAAATATAACTAGTGGATGAAACTATTTAAAATTTGACAAAAACGTTCCTAAAAGTATGTAGTTTCAGAAAAATAAAACATTTAATTTTGATTCTTTCTACTATTTCTAAGAACAAATTCATTATTTAATGTAGTTATTTGCACTGGCACTAAGTGTTTAAGTTGATATTAGCTATCATATCCCAACAACAGTGTTTAAGTTGATATTAGCTATCATATACCAACCAACAGTGTTTAAGTTGATATTAGCTATCATAAACCAACAACAGTGTTTAAGTTGATATTAGCTATCATATCCCAACAGTGTTTAAGTTGATATTAGCTATCATATCCCAACAACAGTGTTTAAGTTGATATTAGCTATCATATCCCTACAACAGTGTTTAAGTTGATATTAGCTATCATATCCCTACAAC